ACCGTGGGATTTGCCTTGATAATTTCATCTGCCTGAGCATCTTAGATAAATACATACATGTGGATCGATGAATTCTATCCACCTTTCTAGTTAGCTGAATACCTCAAACCAATCCTTGGTACTCTCGTACTTTTTTACTAATAGGATTAGTCAGTCAGTCAGTAACAACGTAAAACTTCGTACATACTTTTCTAACCTAAGCTATTAATGAGATGTTTGTTGACAACAGATCTGTTAAACCTGGTGTGGCCCTCATTTCGTGAATGATGCACAAGTTCAATAACCAAGTCTTTAAACCAGATATAAATCACTTTTATGGCGCAAAAGGTTTTGTGTCGAGTCTCGTTACATAAAGCGACTCATGTTTGGTTGGCGTTATCATGTATTCTGACGTTCGTTCATATAGAGCTTTCTGCATTAATTATTCTACTACATTAATCATATCCATACAGACGGTAGATTACAATTTACATGAATTTCGCTTCGTTATAACATCTTGAAGTAGTCGAATACACTGGAAAATGAGTGATTTTTACGATAAGTAACGCGTACGGGAATAGTCCTGGGATAGTGTACATCACGGCTATTGAATATTTAGAATGCCTCAAATTATATAGCTTCCTGATGTTCGTTGATATATGGAAGCTCTAACGAACAAGGAATCATCGGTAATTTTACAATTCACATTGTCCCACTGACTTTTACTATCATCCGATTAGCTACTTTCGTTTTCGGTTTGCTCTTTTTGTTATATGTGTCCACGTTATATAAGCAGTTGTATCTTAGTTTTAATTTATTGAACATCATTCCTGGATCCCTGTCTTTTCAGTCGCTTACAGGATAACTGTTATTGAGGTGTTGCGGGGATCAATTTTTAAGCTCTCTGAAACGTACAGATCCTGCAATTTTGAGGACATTTCACAATTGTTTATAGTTCGGAATAATCGTAAGCCATCTCAAAGTAACGCTGGATCTGTGCTTTAAGTGAAGAAAATAAGTATTAATTACCGGGATCGGTAGGTAACCAAGCTAGAACCATTTTTCGTAGACTATAAATACGGTATAGTACCATTTGACAACCTACATTTTGAAAATCTATTTTTTTATTTACTGTTGGGATATTCAGGAAAATATCCCAAAAATTATTCTATTAAGTCTAATGCTATTCTTGGACTTGGAGATGGTATTATTCTCTTATTGGTCAGTGCTTATTTCACGTGTCATTTTCCTACTGGTCAATATTGTACAATGTTATTTTCTATTTTATGGCACAATGTGGTCTGCTTGATTAGTATATAAACAGAGTGTGTTTGAAATGTAATGATTCATATATCCGAGGCTGTGACTTGTGTTCTGGACTCAACTGACTGGGCTAGACAGGGAAGCGGGGCCAATCAGAACCCTAGGTCGTTCTACGTGTTTGTGCGTCTTTGGTCCGATCAATAATTTGCTACCCCTTAATCAGCGGCATTTTCACGTTATAACATTTACTCACTAATGAGTCTCAATATTCCACATAATTTAATACTCATTATTTATTCTATTCAATGCTAACCAGATTTTAAGAAACCCAACTACTTGTTAAGTTCTCAATTAATATTATTTCTCTCACCCTATCTGACCCATATTTATTCTGATCATGGATCTTAAATTTCACTCAACATAAATGCAGATTCAAGTTAACATTCTATATGAGTCATATCAACATTAACAATTTTATTGTATTTTGTTTAACAATCCTAAATTCACATGCTTTAAACGATGTACTTTACCCTTAACCTGGCCAATTTTCAGATTATTAATTTGGATATATGAATTGTAGAACCTGAAATGAATTTATCGAAAAGAATATTCTTCGTTCACATATTAGTCTTTTAAATAAATATGCCTTGAATTCCCAGTCTGTACTGCGAAAAAATATCTTCCGCGTGTGTTAAATACTGATCTATTGTTAGAACTACTACTCATATATTGAGCTTTTCCATGAAAGTTTGCTTCGCGGTAATCGACCTCAACGGATAAATTTTATGGTCGAAGAAATATATATATATATATATATATATATATATATATATATATATATATATATATATAATTTGGCAATTCATTGAAACTAACATATTCTGTTTGGAGACCCGAAGATATCCCAGGAAGTGAAAGCTCTTTTGATACACATTATGTTTTGTAATTACAATTGATTTATCGAATATGATAACAAATGGACAGAAAGGCGGACTTGATTCGTTGTTAAGAAAATAGAAGACAAAATTATTAATGGAATTGAAAGATTAATCAAGAATGTTCCAGAAAGTAGGTAGAAATTCATAACTATAAAAATAATTTCCACAGCATAATTAAATAAGTTGGGAAAGACAATACTAGCGAAAATCATGAAAACAACGATAACTCATTTTGGAGATAAGGGAGTAAAAGTTGATTATCAAAATAGGGAACGATTACCGCAATAAATGTTGAATAAACGTTTCTACTCTGAAGTTTGGAATTCTCTGTGTGTAGGAATAATTCCTTTGATTCAGAGGAAGGAAATATGCATTGCATTAGACAAGTTCCTTCTTATCTTGTTTATATCTTATGCAGTCATTATATGACATGAGTGATACATCTGGGCTATCCAGGGTTAAAGAGAAAAGTGATTTCTTGTGCCAAGATTATCAGTGGTAATTAGGAAGAAAAGCAACGTTCCTGATTACTCACACATAGATGTCACTTTGAACAACTGGCAGCGGACAAACATGTGAGCAGATGAAAAACTCGAAGCCACAACAATAATGTGTTACTAGCAACTGTGATTCTAGTTTCTTAATAAGAATATCACAATATGGTGAACGTTTTTCCTACACTGTGGCAATATATTTGTTCATCCGTATAACTACCAACAAACTGGATGTTAAATCTACAAATACAGACTTTTAAGAAAAAAACCTGGTTTTTGTATTACCTTAGTGCAACTTTCATTGCAGATAATTCAGGTTGATTTTCGCTTATTTAACTGTCAAATTAGTCCAGTGTAATTTTTGTTCATTATAATATTCATTTGTACTATTTTAGTGTAAAGTTTGTTCAATGTGATAATTTTTTTAAAATTAATAATTACTCCAATTAATCTGTATATAAATAAATATATTCGAAAGATTAGTAATCTTCTCAGGTCTCTCACAATAAAGCTTCTAGACAAGCTTGAACCTCTAGCTCTGGTCAGTGGGGAAACGAAGTAGGATTTGAGAATTAATGCCTTAGTGTGCGGGCACGCTAAAAACATTATCTGTAATATGAAGACTTAAGTGGAATATTCAATTCCGAATATCATCCTCTTTCATTCGTGAAAATTTATAACAGTATGGTTCATTTTAGCTTACAAACTGAGCAAACGAATATAACGCAACGCTATTTTCCCATGTCAATTGTTTGTAAGTACACAATTGCATAATTTCAACAGTTCGTTTTTTGTATTATTAGTGATTATTACGTGAACATTTTTAGATCACATGTATGACACACTAGCCAGGACGATAACAAAATTAAAACTAAACAACTGATCAATATTTTGACAAGAGGTGATATATCCGGTTGACCCTATATAGCACAGTAACGACTAATAGGACCAGTTATGACTGAACATAGAAAGGTTAAATTGGAAGAAAAATCGAAATAATAAAGGATCAGGATAGAAATTATGACTTAAGTCTTTACTGTATCTAACGCTTGTTGAGAGAATACCAATTTTCAAGCACCTGTTTTGCGATTCGAACCGTTTAGAGGAAGACACACATGTCATAACTGTTTGTAAGATATCAGATAACGTATAATGATAATATTCATTAGAAAGACGAAAACAGAAAAGCTTAAGATAACAAAATGACCACTATTTATAGTCAGATAAATGATAAATTTATATCTGTTACGTTGTACACGATTTTATAATTAATCGGAAGCTTATTCCATCATCACTTATTTCACAATTTACAACACGTTTCAATTAAGACAACTGTTTTTTTCATGCAACAAGTATTTGAATTAAATTTATAAATAATAAATCGAATAAGTTATTAAAAATGTCCGACATTCTTATGTAGTCTTTGCACAACGGTAAACTAAATGGAATTAAAGTGTTGCTTTATGTATTTAACAAACATTCTGATAATTCTGCTAATCATCAGTTTGTTTACGTTGTTTAATGCAAAGTAATTATTTTACATCTAATTTATACCGTGATGTACTAAGTGAGATAACTTGATGAAATAAGAGATTCGGATTATCAGAACAATCATACTGTGGTGCGTGCTACTTATATGGGTGTAAGTAGTACATAACGTGAGTTAAAAACGCAATGTCTGGCAGTAGAAGATCAAAAAAGGAAGAGCGACGACGCAATTTGTAAGAAAACGCATGAACAATGAAATGTGAGACAATGGATTGATGTGTGCAACAAGAACAGTCCAGGTTGATATGATGTATTGATATTTTGCAAATTAACGATTTACTATATGGTTTTTCTATTTTACCAAGTAACTCTGTAATTTGTGCTAAATACAATTTCCGTTGTCCTCACCTGTGTTCACCTTCACTACAGTACTACTATTCTACACCAGAATGAAAAAACCGTAATAAGTGGGGTTCCGCTGTGCCGGATGTAAGTAAGGCAGTTATCCATCAAAGACAATGAAGGATGATCGTGCAATTTCGCGGATTGATTGAAGTTAGATATTAACACCGTTGGAACCCAGCTCAATGGTTAGGGGTTTGTGCGTGAAACCGATTGTCCCGGGTTTGAGTCCCACTAGCGGGATCGTGGGTGTGCACTGCCAAGGAGTCCCATACTAGGATAAAACAGGCGTCCAGTGCTTTGAGGTACTTAATGGTGGTCTAACATTGATCGGTTTATGATTTCCACTAAAACTCAACAATTTTCACAGCCTTACAACTGACAGAAAACAAAATCATATTAAACACTTAAATGGTATGGGAAAAACAAAAGAACTGATGGATAAGACAATCTTCTTATTTTGTACAATGTTATTTTACATCAGTTGAATACAAAAACATATGTACATGTATATTCTTTATTCCTATCATGTTTTGATCGCTTTCCAACGTTGAATAAAGGAGCGAATTAATTCCAACCGTACACCTTGAAAATAATGCAGAAGAAAATGGCATATGGATTTGAATAAAGTATTGATGAAAAAAAAATAAGACGTTTGCAATTCAAAAAAGTATTCCAGTCTAGTATTACTATTAAAACACTAGATTTTGTATAATTCACAGGAATATCTTTCAATGTTATTTCACTATTGACTGTTATTTTATAATCGTTTAAATTAAGTAGACGTTTATACAGAGCTTCAAATCCGGACATGCTATCAAAAAGCTACTCATATTTCATATAGCATAAAAATTAAAATGAAAGTGAGATATCATGAAGTATTTTAGAATGTTAAGTGTTTTCTCAGGATTGACTTAGTAAAATATTATTCCAAGTAATCAAAAAACAGATTATGTGTGACCTAATTGCTCTCCGCTACGAATATACTACTGTAGTGAACAAGAACACCAGTGGGGACAATCGTATGTATTTAACACAAAATTACAGGACTTAATAAAATCTAACAATCATAAAGTACATGCTTGATTTCCAAAATTTCCACCAATTGTCTCAAAGTGACTCAGACTTCATTGTTCTTGCATTTTCATACAAATTGCATCCTGTTTCCATTCTTTACTATTTGATTCTCTTGTCTCTCTACTGCCAGACCTTCTGTTACGACTAACATCATATACTACTTATGTCAATATAAGTAGCACACACCACACTACTACTGTTGCATATTTAGTTTGCTGCGTTAAATTCGTGGTACAGGTCATCACTTTTAGTGGCCCTGTATCTGACTCCACTTGGATAGTTTCTGATTGTTATTGAGATATACATGTCGCCAATCCTCGTATATAATCATCGACTTGGTGAATAACGGAATTAAAATAAGCTAAATACAAGAATGGAATTTTGAATGCGTATATTTCGTGCCAACGCTGATTGGAACAGACAATCAGAGAGACGTAGCGAAGGAAGCGAAGAAAAGAAAGCGAAGTGAAACGAAATTCCGCGCAGTGGAGAAGGCACGTGGGCCAACTCGATTTAATCAAGCGTTAATCAATATTTATAGTCACAAAAATAAGCTACGGATATGTGATGAGTAGGATAAGATGTACACACACATACGCCGATATAAAAACAATCAGGGCTGATAAGTGAATGACAAACAAGGTGAAAACGTGATTCAAGAAGAATAGATAAGTTGGCTATCTCTGTGCTAATGTGGTATGGCAACTTAAACTGATGTACGTACGTACGAAGTTCTACGTTGTTACTGACTGACTGACTGAGATAAGTTGGCTTGTCTAGAAGCTAATTGGTTTATTTCCAATATAAAACATTCATAAATAAAACTTAGTCACATTATTGATATTGATGAATACTTCTGAAAGAAGTTAAGTAGAGAATTCTACTCAAGATTTCCCAGACATGAAATAGATTTAATCAAATCAAAGTATTATACTCTCAGCATGTATTTTAATTAAACTCGAAGTGTAACAAAAACTCATGAGAATTATGTTTTAATGGTTAAAGCTTAAAGTATTTAGCTTTACAAAACATTAGATAATAGATTTCAACACTACCTCATCTATTTCGGTTTAGCTAGCTGAATGGTAATAACCAGCACTCACATAAATATTGTGACTCAAAGTGTAGTGCACAAAATTGCACTTCATAAATGAATAACAAATAAATCAGCAACATTGAGATGGTCTACTCAGTCCGATGGATATTAAAAAATTAGGAAGAAGCATTATTATTTCTGTGAAAATTTAATTAATGTATTTTAATATATACTTATTTTTCTCACGCAACCAATCAAAGTAATTATTTTAGTAGACCTTAAAAATGGATGACATAATAAAATTTGACAATATTAGTGTGAAATTGTCATTTTTAATTATTCCTGAAGAAAGACAACTGTACAATTGATTGATCACTGGGTAGTGACCGACGTGGTGGTTTGAGATAGTTCACAGGAATCCGAGGACCTAGGTTCCATGATATTTGGGACACGATAGAACATATAATTTTCATTATACTGATGCTCTCTGCCTGATTCGATCCTGCGTCACCCAACGTCAAAGTCATAGACATTACCATTGAGCTGTCTGGCCTCTTATAGGACTGAGGTGTAGTTACAACTGATCGATCACTGGGTAACTAATGCCATGTATGTCAAGCCTTTCTTAGTGCTGAGCTAACTTTATCGATCAAGTTGCAATGAAGCCACCAGTTTAGGTGATTCGATATCTCCACGGGCGCCAAATAACACGAAAACTAAGTCCATGGTTTCCCGTCGACCATCTCTAACCATCATCTTACATCATAGAAATGAAGCTGATTAGTTACCTTAAAAATTGAAAGTAATCTGTTAAAAGTGGACACTATAGAAGTCATATTCTGTCAACTAAGTTATTATTTTTTCTTGCAAATTATGCCAATAAAAGAAACTAATTTTTTTCAATCCTGATGGCAACTGAAAATAATTGGTAACACAATAATCAAAATTATCATTGATAATTTTAAGAAATTAACAATTTCAAAAAAAAATGTAGATAAATAAATTAAACAACGATAGGTAAACAGTAAATTAATGTATAAGACATACCATGATTTAATGCAAGCTTTAAAAAGTCTTGAGGAACTATTGTATCTTCAACAGATGTATTTCTAAATCCAATCAGAATAGTCACAGGTGCTGTTTTAGTAAGTGACAACTCATTCAATTCATTTGTACTGCAATCTTTATTTAGTAGATCTACATATGGAGGTGAAATATTAAGCGAATATAGAAAGTTATTGGTTTCCTGTTCATTTGAATTAGTAGCTTCTTTAAGTAAGGGGTTTTTGTTTACAGATGTTGGATCAGATGAATTGTTGGAATCTTTGAGCGTCTAAATTCAGATGGAAGAAAAAAATAATTCAGACTATTAGCTACATTTGATTATCTTATGGAAAAATATGGAGTATAGAAAGTAGTTTTTCATATCGAAATCGGTTACACAGCATTTAATCAGTCAGTCAGTCAGCTACAACGTAGGACCAGGTATTTAATGGTGATAATTTATAGAATTTTGGATTCACACTTCATTTTAACTTGTTATTCAATTACACACACAGGTACACGTGTCTCGATAACATTGAAATCCAGACTTGGTATCCACTTTTTCAAGTCTTATATCAATATTTACTATTAGTTAATGGGATACTGATAACAATTAAACTATAAAACAAGTGTATAACGTTATTTTTAATGCTGATTAGTGAAATCCAGTTGTCAAAGAAAAATTTCGTGTAATTTTATTATTTAAATGAACTGATTATAACTTTAAAGTAAACATCGGCAGCTTAAAATTGGTGTTTAGAGCAAGGCGAACAAATTCTAAATTTTAGTGACAACGTAAACAAGCCATAGATAATCTCGCATAAGAGAAGTACTCGATTGGACAAAAAAGGAATCACACGAACTAATGCTAAATTCTCAAAAGTCCTAACACAGATGTGCTCACCTGTGCAAAATAAGACGCACAGTTCAGGATGTTAACCCATCTTCTTACAACGCGAAGATTTAAGCTTTGGTTGGTGGGTGCTTTAGGTTCGTCTTCTTCCGTGTCGTTTATCAAATCTTGAGCATCGTTATGTACAGCATCTTGACGATGAAGTTCAATAAGTTGATTTGGTTGCTCATCTGGTCTTTGTAATCGCAGATAACTGATAAGATGAAGTAGAAGAGTGAGAAACAATTGCGTTCATATTTTGGAATAGTATAATGATATGATAGCGAACAATGCCCGTTGGACAGGAATTTGAGTTAAAAATAATTAAGAAAAATTTGTTTCATGCAAAAGGAAAAGTGCATATTACACAGCATTTTTATTATTAAACTGCGTATTTTTAAATTAGAAATCATTCATCTGAAAATATTTTAATGATTTCATTATTTAGAGATTTATTATGCTATATTATATTATATATGAAATAGTATACTTGTCTATTGTCGTGCAAAATATTAAAAGCCTTGAAACAACTATCGGAAGTTAGTTTGATTTGTCGAGATTTGTAATCATAGTTATGGGAGCATTAGTGACTAGTTTCCAAATGGATTTCGTGAGGTCTACATGGAGAAGTCAAGACTTATGTAATCAATTAAACCAGATGTCAGGTAGTTATTTACCGATAAGATAATGGTTGTAGTATATCATGAATTAACTGAAGTGAGAAATCGGGGACCACTGAATTTAAACTGAGTGGACAAATAAAATCATGGCTTGTTGTCAAATATGAAGGTCCTATGAGGTTTGGATTACATGTGCAAATTGCAGAAACTTAAGAAAGTAAGGTAAACAGCTGTCGACTGCTATGAGATCTTAAAGTTTCGCTGGCGGATATCAGTCTCTGATTAAAACAACTATCATGAGAAACATTTAAATACTAAGGCCATGATCTGATGCTTGCCAAAAAACTGAAAACCGAGTAATTTTGTGCATATATAATGAAGACTAATAACCAATTTTAAAATATGCTTTATGGTTGGCTTACCTTTCTTTTACGCAAAGTATTATAGGGGTATAAAACAGCTACTGTTAGTTACTGGTTAGTGAGAATCAATCCAAGTCAAACTATTTCATAGTACAAAGTGTAATTGTAAATGAAACTTACCGGTTGCCACCGTGAGCTTCATGTTCCAGGTATCGTATCGCTACTCTAGCGGATGCCATTGTTTTCTTCAAGTAATCCAAATGGGAAATAACTGAAGAGTTTACATTAGAGAGGAAAATATAACGAGGATGAGAAATGTACATGTGGATGTGATAAAATTCACTTTTAAATCCAGTCAAAGAAATTACTGTAGCTAGTAATGAATAAACTAAACGACAGAAGCTTTTATAATTATTAGTCCAAGCATTCTGTGTATCATAGTTTACTGTTATGACCTATTAACAGATACAAAATGGAATATATAATAAACAGAAGGTATATGTCATACAAATTTAACAACCTAAAAGCACCCATCATTCAAATCCGCAGTCAGGTGGGCATATAAGTAACTGAGCTATTGGTTTTAATTTTCAAATGACAACTCGAGAATTATATAACCACAAATTTAGTTCACATCCTTGTAGAATGAACAAGGCAGTTACTGAGCATAATTCCCAATCCAATAAAATATTTCTACTTTTGAAAACTTACATATTACACAGTTTCATAGTATTAACATGTAGCACCAATGAAAAACTGTAGATTCATAAACGTCTATTTACTAAGTACAGAAAACTATTCAAAGAGTACTTTCAAATACCATATTTTTAAGGGCAAGTATTATTTACATGATAACAATAGCCTTAAACTTTAGTAACGTTTAAAAGCCACTACTATTTAAAAAACACGATGAGTCAGTACAGTAAAATTGGATCAAATTCACATGTGATTATACTTTGAAATATCCTTCAGCGTCCTAACAATTAACAACTTATATATATATTTCTGAGAAATATTTCGAGATTATCTTAGGATTAGTGACACTATCCGATCGCTTAAAAAGAAGTAGATTGTGAGAGGTTGAAGGCTGAAACCCACTAGTTAAAAAAACAAGCGTTTAAATCATGAAATTATAGTTCCTGTTTGAGTGTTTTCGATTCCTAGTATGCAACATAATCATTCACAGATATCTATCACAATATCCGTTTAAGTGAATTTATGAAATTAAAACAATAGTATTTCAAGAGGAAGAATGTATTTGTAAAATCTCAGAGAAAGAATTTGAAGTAAATCCAACGTTTCGCCTGGCAATAAATATTTCAATGATGAACGGAAAAACTAGTTATGCAAATAAATTATCATTCAGTGGAGTAGGTTTCTTACATAAAACTCTTTATAGAGAAATATATACAGTGTATAACAATGAATCATATGAATAGTAGTGTAATCTACTATGAAATACTAAATCATTTAATGTAAGTGTTAAGTCTTGCTGCTTTGGACGCTATATTCGTTCCTAAGCTATTCTGATAACCCACACGCTAGAACTATACAGCGACTTGAACACCAGAAAGAAGACGCAAAGTATGGAAGAAATACTTTACTCTAAGGTTCGTTCTTGTACAGAAAACATGGGTATTTATAGATGTTAATGTTTGTTAAATCAACATCATATTTCGACCAATCCGTTAACGACATATTATGCTACTGACCAATAGTAGCACGCCACGCTGGAATTCTAGAATGCTCCATCGTGCTCTGATTGGCTAAGACTCTTCGGCTCCTTTTGGGCCTCTGAAGGTTCCGTTGAAGTTCTCCGAAAGCCGACTCAACAGTAAGTACAAAGAAATTTAAATAACATGTCAATATATTTAGTGATAAATGTCAAAATACATTTGAATGAATACGTAACGAATGGCTACTTGATGTAGGGTAGTATAAAAATCAATTTATCTGGACAAGTTTTTACCAAAAACCAGAATTAAGCCTACATACGTGGCTTGAAGAGGTGATAACTAGAAAATATTGTGGTTTTAGAAAAATTTGTAAATTTACATCAATCTGAAGAAACCAATACAACCAACCTGCTTGTGGTATGATTAAAACGAAACGATTAGAACTGACTAATTGTTTGACCATGGATAAATGGCTGGTTAAGCAGTAAGCATCTATGACAAGAAAAGGTGACAAAAAGGTTTTTTTAATATCGAATTCCAAGTTTTTATCCTGAATATTTGAATCCGAATTCCGCATGGAAGATGCAGTGTTAGTGCTTCTTTTATTGTATGAAAGAGGTGATTGATTACGAAACTGACGTTCTAACTGATCGACTTCATTGAGTAGCCGGAGACGAGCCATATCTCGCATAGCTTGATCTCGGCGTGACTGGTCAGTTTCTGTTGAATTAATCTAAAGGTAAAAATGGTTATATTTAGTAAAATGATGAGAGAAAAAAAGTGATTATTGTTTACGAGTTATTGAAATTTATTAGTCAAAACATCCATTCATCCACCTCTAATTCTAAGTACCATTTTTTAAAAGTAAATTTTGCATTATATATTGTAAAGCATAAATAATTTCGTAGACTGCTGTGGATTTATAACTGATGATTTTGTTTAGCAAGTTATGTAATTTTTATTTTTCATTGTTACTCCAAGTAATTGCATGAATTGACATTAGTTAGTACATCGTTCCCGGAAAAGTGTAAATTATGTATTGAGAATTTTATTTCATTTACCATATAATTGTGTTTGTCAGGGGTATTTGTTGTGCATTCACATACAGAACAACAGTAGTACTGGTTTCATGTGATTTTAAGTATCTGTATCAGATATGATGATCGCCTAAAATCAGCCGCCAACTACTTCTCATAATTCTTGGTCAATTCTACCTAAGAAGAAAGACAAATTGAATGAGAAGCTCTATTTATAACTGTTTGGTACCAATCACTTGTTTTTTATTCATAGATAGTCAAAACTGACCACTACAGTATTGTGTTGAATTTCAGCTTAGTTGATAATCCATTTGTCCATCTTAGATCATTACACTCACACTTATATTGGCTGACCCTGTTGGAATTTGTTGCTTCGCAACAACTAGAAAGAGTATTAAGGACTATTTTTCAAATTTATTTTCCATCAATTTATAACGAATAAAATACAATGTTGGCCAACGGATTTAAATAAAAACCAATGTTCTTTACTATTAAAATAAAATGACATACAAGTCACTGATCAATTGTTTAGCAGTGACTTTATAAGTGTATTTAAATTTCTGTAGTCGAAAATGAGTTAACTGCACAATTGACTCATATGATTTACAAGATACTGTTTCTAGGCAAGATAATAATAAGAATATCACAGCCTCCAGGATTGATTGTACACAAATAAACAGTAGTAAAATTAAACAAATACATTATTATATGTTATGAAGAAACGCTTCAGATTAAATCAAGAGATTTAGTCTAAGTATTGAGCTAGAAGCTCTTATAGTGGATTTATAAATTAAATTAATTGGAGTTATATATATTCTACTCAATCTTAGATATGCGGAAAATGACAAGAGCTAATGATATTATAATTTGCTTATTTAGCCTCTAATACATTTGTAAATGAACTATGGACGTTGACAAATATGGCAGTCAATAGCAATAATTCGGTGTGGAATAACATTATTTAGTTGAAAACAAATAAAAAATTCTTTCAGCTTTACTGAAATAATAAACTCACTTGAGGTTTGTCAAATAATTTAGTATCACATTTAACCAGTGAAGATGAATCAGATTTTTGTGCATCACTTTTAGAGACAGATTGAAGAACATCAGATGGTGAAACTTCTGAATGTTGAACAGACTCTATTGTATCCCAATCGTTATGATGATTATCTGCTTGTTGTGAGTGTTTGTTACGATGTCTGGAATCATAGTATGACTTGTGACCTTTAGCCGAGCCTGAATATCTAGCATGTTCCCTATAAGAGTGACCTCTATGAGGTACACATGTATTACGATGATCAGTTCTGTTATACTGATAACCAGTATTGGGACAAGAAGAACTGTAACGATCACATCTTCCATAGCCAGGATAGAACTTCTGATATCGACGACCACGACGTCTTCGTCGACTCAAATAGGGCCAATTAGAATGATTGGAAGAGGATAGACTAGCAACATTAGACAGTGGTATGTCACACTTAAAAGGTCGACCACCATTTCCAGTAGAATTATATGTAACAAATAAACCCAACTGACCACTGTGTGATGCTAAACTACACCCATGAAACGTAAGGGAGGCGCACCGAAATACGATCTGGAGGATAAGGATAGAGTAAAAAAAATTAATTTGTGGACAAAAAGTATTAGAAATTATATTTATGAAAACTACTACAAGTGAGATTGACTTCCATATCAAAACAGGAATAAGACGACTATACGCTTATGAAATAATTCCTCACAGATTTATTAAACATTACTAAAAGTATGTACCGCAGAGATTCACAGTCAGATAGATTTATTAAGACTAATCAACATTGGACGAACAATTAGATTTATCAGCAAATATGTGAATGATAAAAATCAAATAACGGTCCAACAGTCCAGATTTGAAATATCGATTACTGGGTCACGAGTTCGGAATAACCACTCCAACTAAAGGTTCTACAATCTGATGGCTATATCCATTATGTGAAACGTTAACGACAATAACTCACTGTTTAGATAGTAATTAAGAGAAGCATTAACTCTTCAATCGACAGTTTGAAAACCAAGTACCGGAATTGCTAAACTACACGTTTGCAGTAAACCCTGAAAGAAATTTGCGTAGTTATTTATACAAATATTTATTGAGGTTTCGTCGAAGAAAGTAGTAGATAAGAAAACAAACACTTACCTCATCTACTTCATTTAACGACGGTGATATGCATCCATTATGAAAATCAATTTTTTTATGAATACAATTCATTGATGGTAAGCCAAGTAGTAACCAATCTTCAGGAAGAGGATAAATTTTGGATTTTTCATCATTAGGAATTACAGTTTCTTTTACAAAATTTTTCTCTGATTCATTTTGTTCTTCAACGGGAAACTTATTTGGATTGAAAATTTGTTGAGAAAAAATTTTTTTCATTGTCCGGTATGCAGCAGGTGATAAATGATGAACGATATTGAACTTGGTTTTGTCATCGGTATCTGTAATGAAAATCGAGTAAAACGTTATGCACAGTATATATATATATATATATATATATATATATATATATATATATATATATAAAGAGTATTACATAAACTATGTGAAAAGAATTGGAAAATGTTAAGGAATATGATCAAGTGACATGACAACATTATAATCTAACAAATTTCAAGTAAAGTATATCAATTTGAGGATTGAAATGCTTGTACGTTGACTTGACAAGTTTGAACTAGTCACATTATAAAAGGAATGATCAAAGTTGAAGGGCGTAAACCTAGAGTTCTATAAGTGAGTGGACAAATTCATACAACATAAAGAATGTGAACTCGTATTTCATAACTTACAGAAGTATGTATTGGATGCTTGTATTATGAACCTGTTACAATCTTTTCTTCCACATTGAAAGATACTCAGAGTGCATTAAAGATGTTCTTTTGTTCCAAGAAATAAGTGAACAGCTTTAAAATAAGCGTTACTTTTTTACTGTAGAGACTTGCTTTATATTGATTACCATCATAATCTACTACTTAAAAGAAATTAAGAAAAATTTCATTCCAGAACAAACTAGAATGACTAAGCCACTCATAATAGTACTATATTTCTTCCAGCTGAAATTTTGCGGAGTTTATTTAATATGACTACGAAAACAGAAAAACAAAGTTTCAGTAAGTTACAGCATTACATTAAATCACTCTTGATTTTCTCTGAATATAAAAACACAGAAGTAAATGTATTATTTTCGACGCGATTATATCTTAGAACTTATCCAGAAATAAACATATACCGTTTCCCCAAGATATAAAGTTTTAACCTTTTTTAGTTTGTATACTGCTTGAAAAAAATAACTAAGATATTATCTACTACATGGACTATTTTAAAGCCCATATAATAACAGATTACCGATATTACTTATAGGGAATTCGATATTAGAACATAAGTTCTCTATAAAGAATTTTCATGTAAAGCAAGCGCACACATCACGTAGCCGGTCACACATTGTACCAGCTAGGACAAGAGTAAATTCCAAGTAGGTTAAGGGAATATTGATCATGACGAGAAATTAGTTCATGAGGTGGTTGACTAATGGTGTAAGTCGTGTGAACTTTAGATTTTCTAGTTTGGATCTTGCTTCAAAGTGGTTGCAGTGATGCAGCCGTACTCATTCTTTATCTCCTTTCAAATCTTAAGCTTCGCACAATTCAATACTTTTACTTTCCGACCTCATTCATTCTTTTCACACTGTATTTATTATTCTTAGATTAACACCGAAATCAATATTGCTTTTATCACTCCTTCAATTTTATGCCGAACCGATATATATATATATATATATATATATATATATATATATATATATGCCAAGGTCTATGTTTTATTTGATTGATTACTTATGTCACACACGATCAATTAATTACTATACTACTGTAATCAGACTTACTCGATTCAACCAAGTGAGTACACGAATCCACATGTAAGTGTTCTTTTTGATCACAATGACTAATTTCACATGATTCTGATGTATCGGTTACATTTTTGCACAATATTTCATGAGACATTTGATCGAATATTGGATAAATACTATTTAATAATGGGATTAGTTGTGATACGAATCTTTCTACAGACGCCTGCCAAATAATACTAGCTCTACTAGGTTTCTGCGATTTATTAGTTATATTATCTGTTAATGTGGAATTAACATTTTGAAAAGATAAATTTAAATGTTGAAACTGTGAACTTGAAAGCCAATCCAAAAACAATTTGACAGCAGGAAATAAATAAAGTCGACTAAATAGACTAATACGTGTTGGTATATCTGTATTTGGGTCGTAAGAATCTTTATCAAATTGAACAGAAGGATAATCTGATAAATTCTCTTTAATAGAATCTGAATGACATTTTGAAGAGTAACGCATATTTTTCTCCACATAATCAGTAGTAGAACTATGAAAGCAAACAGAAGTAAAATAATCATTTTAATTTTAATTAATTATTAAATATACAAAAAAGAAATGTGTCTTGCTACTAAATATCATTGATGAAGTTTGAGGAGAAATAGATGTTAAACAACTATTGTTTACTATTTATTACAGATTATGAATCATAAATAACTGGCATATATTAAAGGAGAAACACTATTGACCATTTAAATAAAATGAAATCAACAAATAAAAAGTAGGTTTGTATACTGGATTACAAGTTAACGGTTAACGATAGCATACCTATCTGATCAAACATACTCAGGTGGAAACAAGTTCGAACTTGTTACCTATTTGTGCTTTAGAAAAAAAAGTGAAAATGGGACAAAATGAATAACTTTTTGGTGATGATATTGTGAGGTATAAGCGGTATTCAATTAGGGTGATTTAAAGTTATAATGAGAAGGAATTTCATAGATGAAGTTCCTTCTTTTTTACATAGAGTAATGTAGAAGAATTGAAATGATAGGTTCGAAATGGAAATTTTATTCACTAAATTGGTTGTTGATCACAAAACACTAATATATCTTGAATGTGTAAATAGTGTATCTGCCTTTCATCAAAAAGTGAGATTCAAACAGAATATTTACAACTAAAAAAGTGAAAAATATATATTCAGTCAATTGAATTAATTATTAAGATAAATACGGGAAATAATAACATTTTAAAAAATTTGAATAGGTCAGTTTAGTTGCAGGAACCCTGGACGTTTTGAAATACAGGTGATTAGGGAAATGAATCTTGGTAAGAATAGAGACTCAGAAGAATCGGAACTCTCCAGAAGTCAGCAGTAAAAGTGGACAACTTCGTCTGAACATAAAAATGGAGATATAGATAAGCTTGAACAGTAAAATGTCCAATTTTAGGGATGTGGATATTCTGGAAAGCTTCAACTATAAGAAATCCAGAAACGTTTAATTAAACAGAAAGAAGCGTATATAGCGTCAGAAACAGTAAACAAAATAATGGGTCATTTTAGAGCAATTAGAGCATTGATTTCAAAATGGCGAACAGTGATTATGATGTATATATTTTAATAAAGAAACAAGGTTTGGAAATTTTGTTCAGTGTTAAGTCGTACTGAGTTAACACTCACTTACTGCCTGGATGAAATAGAGAACAAGTCGAGTGATACGATGCCAAAAGATTGGGCTTATCAGTCAGGTCATAGTGGATTGGAGAATGAGTGACCTAAAAGCTAACTTCCTCTGATTGTCTACAACATTTTATCATATTTATTTCGTGTTCATATTTTGTATATAAGCATGTTATTTTGTTACATGAAAAACATTCATCTGGCTAATTGTCTTGTTGTCGATCCCTAACTATCCGGTGGCTTTAGCCAATTATGTGGTTTCGTGAGTAGCCATCACTCGGTCACACGTCATATCATTGAGTTCATCCATCAATTAGAATTCTATTTATCGATTTTAACAAATGAAATTTAGTCTGATCAAACCACAGGAAACCTCCGCCATAACATCGAGGAGAGATTAAATCTAAGTTGTAATTTATTATGTTTAGTGAATTGTTTGGTAAAATTGTGTGTTAATTGTCCAATGAGTAATTATCAAACTGTTTGATTATACTGAGGATTAGACAATAATAAGTTACTAACCAGTGATCGAACAACGTATAAATACTAATAAATTTCAGAGGCGAACAAGGAAAATATTACTTACTCATGATGCACTGATTCTTTAGCATTGTCTGAAGATGGATGAGAAACCAGTGAAGGAACTGTTAAGAAGATGAAATGAAAATGTAGTATATATGAAGCAAACTTATTTTTATACATGAAAGTGACTCTCACTTTATAAATTTCAGATTAATAAACCAATTATTACCTTTAGAAAACAATAAAATGGAAATGACACTAGACTTTAAGTGCAAAAACGGGGTATTTTTGCATATGCTTCAACCCATTACTAAGAACTGTGGAGAAAAATTTCTAGCATAATTTCAATAAGAATACTGTCTAAGTAATAAGGTCCTTTTAAAGAGTGGATAGTTCAATCAAATACGGTGCATTAACTTGAAAACCCGATATAACTGCATTAGTAACCTTATTGTTTATAAAAAAAGCTCTGGAATATGAAGACAGAAAGCAGAAAGTTTCGTAATAACATATTTCAAAATGAAATGATTCAACCCTGAGGACAATCAAAAGATATTAGCACAATACTGTATGCAAAAGACACTTTCGAGTTCATGCTGATTAGGATAACATGCTGAGATATTCTAACAAATCACAAGAAATATTATCCAAAAACTTTGTCAATACTTCATTTTTCATTTTTATTCAAACACACAAACATTGGTACAAGTGGATACCAAAATATATATGCACCACATAAGAAAATAAAATTCTTAAGAGATGGAGAAAGGAAGGTGAGTATAATAAAAAATAAAAAGCAATTAGTTTATGGGAGTGAAAAACAATAATACTAATGGAACCAGCAGTTCATTTAAGAAAAATTTAACGAAAACGGAATCTTTCAGAAGTTCATCTCACTTATACGAAGAAAGAAAAAGAAAGTTACAACAGGGGCGACATCGGTTTCTATTCTGAGCTATTCTGATAATGTCTCAAGCCACTTTGTTGTACTGTCTCTAGGACACATTTCTCAAGAAACATTTCAGAAAGTCTAAAATGATATTTTTCAGAATACGTCGCACCAAACTTTCATTTTCATCTATCCTCAATATAAAAAGCTTTCACTAATGATATGTGAAGTGATCATTGTAAATATCTCGTTTTTGTATACGTGATGACATAGACTTCCTGAGAAAAAGTGAAAAGCTGCAAGTGATAAGACATTACATTGCAACAATATACTAATAGTCAGTGAATTCTACCACATTGTTGACCAGATTGATCAAAATAAAGGATAATTAATCTGATATGGTAATGTGTTTAAAATGCAGTTAATTTTTACTGTCATTACAACGATAAAATCTATATACAGAGAAACTTTGTTCAAATTAATTATTTGTCATAAAGTGTCAACCCCTACAAAAGCAGATGTCACTAAGTATGTCAAGTAAATGATAAATAAAATATAATCGCAATCAATAGTTGGAAGTGTTGTTCTACGTGGCCTAAAATGAATTACAGTGGTACGGATTGTTTGTCTTCCTCTAAATGTTAGGTTTACTTCACACTGCTCTACTTTGAACAATATTGATATTCAAGTTTCTGATATAAGTAATAGCATTATTATTTCGATGCTTTTTTTACGATGCAATTTGTCAATTTTCTCTCGTTGTGTTCATATGACGTGGCAACTTAGGTGGAAGCATATTCGTGTCAGGTCCTACGATATTTATGATCGACTAAATTACGAAGTTCATTAATAAAAAAAGCCAATGAGCAACATAAACGATATTTTGGGTTTGCTTTACTGGTATTATTTTGTTATAAGTAAGATCTCATCTCAAACTACTTATAAGCTATGGACTTAGATATTAGTATGCATAGTCTCATTCATTTAGGAAATTTTTTTATATTTTGCTTAGATTACTTATGATCACAGATCTGCTGCTTTGATATATTTTGATCCATTTCCAAACAAAAACTAAACAAAATATAGACATTTTGAGTTGATTGAAGCTCACCTTCTACTTTCTCCGTCTTGCCTTCTTGTATCGTTTCCTCCTCTGAAATACAAGTCAATGTACTTCTTACATCCTTACTTACTGAACGGGATTCTGAAAGATATTTTGACGAATCATTATGTTTTAACTGTTTTACATCTCGTTGGGATCCCATATGATTCAGTTTGGAAGCACGCCTCAACCGATCATCAGATAAAACATCAGGATCATCATCTGAGGATGTACCAGTAGAATTAATCTCATCCTAAAAATGAAAACAATGAATAGGATTTCCTATCTAAATATCATAATGTGTATTCATAGAAGAATCACAAAACATAGTCAGAAGCGACGAAGTATTTTTTCGTACACTTGAACCTCATCTATTTAACAATCGGAAACAAGAAACCCAACAGCAAATTATGGTTCCTCTTGAAGTTACTCCAAAGCTATGCTATAGGAGAACCGTAGGATAAAAACTACAGCATCTAATACATAGGAATTTACATTAAGTTTGTATTAGGTTTCGTACTGAAGATAATGCGGTAGAAAGGAATTATTACTGATATAGAGACGAGTATAGATCAATTAGACAGGTTAAAGAATTAACACAGACCGAAAATCTGAGGAACATAAAACCATACGCAAATAAGAAAGTAGTCCTTGCAAAAAAGGTTTTATTTCTCAAGGAAATGAAACCATATGATCAAAACACTACTGCATAAGTAGTACTTGTAAAACCTGAGAAAAGACTACTAAATAATTAATTAAACATAGACAATTAATATGGAAAAACATTAAATTTAAACAACACACATATTTATATAGCCGATTAAGGTAAATCTCCTGAGGCTTTATAGTCTGCATTTTAGTCTATAATAACAACTTGTTTTTGACAGTATAAGTGTTGCATGAAAATTATGAAATCATTCACTTGAAAATCGAACTTATTTGAGATGGTACCTTGCACAGTAGTAAAAAGGTATAAAAACTATGTGAGTAAATAGTACATACTTGTGAATGCAATAGACTAGAATCATCAGAACCCCAAAAATCTGTATCTGAATCGTTATCATTTTCGTCAGTTCCCCGTTCTACAAACTCATGTTCTGAATCTTCATCTGAAGAGTATCGACGAAATCGTAATCTTGCATGATCTTCATCATCTTCATCGTTATCTGTATTACTGTGTATACTTTCATGTGAGCAAGTCCTTGTACATTTAACGTCACCAGAATCGTCTAGTTCATCGTCAGCATTAACAAGTTCTAGTTAAATAAATAAATAATCAATGGGAAAAACGTATTACTGAAAAATAAACAGCTAACATAAGATCCTGGTTTGTTTGTTTACTAATCACTTACAACGACATTTTACTGCACTTCAAAGATGTTAATTCTGTAGACTAATATTATATGCAATTAATTATCGTATCATAAGATTTTTATATAAACAGTAAATAGTTGTGGCCAGGCGTTATTGAACCACGAAAGAATAGACAAAAGAAGTCAGGAGAGTTTTATCTGTATATGCCTTAAAGGAATAGAAGACTATCTGTTATAACCAAAATTCCATGAATCCATATTTTCCTCTTGAATCATATCTTCTATGCCTAATATTTCCTACTACCATTAATATACAGTTACTACTCTAGCATCTTGCAATGGTGGTGTGGTGTAATAACTTGAACTGATACACATATGTGCCTGGTTCCACGTTGAGTATGAATGACTGACTGATATAAATAAGATCTTTCCAGAATATAAAATACCGTCCTGCACTTTTTTCTTGTATTTATTCCCTGATTAGGAAATGCGTACCATACTAATAACATGTGCAAGAATTATGAATGAACGTTATGAAAGTCACTACAGATTATGAGGATTACACATATTGACGTTATCATGGAAAAGCATAACAAATATTAAATAAAGAACTTTTCTTCAACAGTAAACTAATAGTTACCAAAAGATTACATTGCTGATTGATAACTTGATAAAAACTACGAAAATTATCTGTCTAGAATGTAAGTCTCGAAATGCTTTAATAGAACCGTGGTAATTTCCTTTATTAAAAATTAGCAGTGTCACGATGAGTTGGTAAACCATAAAATAAAAGTTTATTATTCTCATGTATAGCATTTTCGAAAAATAAAGCAATTTTGAATTATTTGTAATTTGAATAAAACCATTATTGTAAGCAACTAGTACAGTGGATTTGACATATATTAATAATCAGAAGGGCTTTTGTGGAGATTTTAGTAATTTCAAAAGTTGAAATCATGAATCAATTGAAGCTAGACCACAATGGAAAACGTGGAAGCACTGGACGGCCGTTTCGTTCTAGTATGGGACTCCTAAGCAGTGCGCATCCACGATCCCACCCCCGCGTGAGATTCGAAGTCAGACATTAAGACCGTTGGGTGCCGGCTCAGTGGTCTAATGGTTAGGCGCTCGCGCGCGAGACTGATAGGTCCTGGGTTCGAATATCGAGAGGGGCGAGATCGTGGATGCGCAGTGCTGAGTCCCATATTAGGACGAAATGGCCATCTAATACTTCCAGGTTTTTCATGGTGGTCTAGCTTCAATTGACTCATGATTTCAACTACTGATATATTAATAAAACCACGTAGATAATATGATTGTTTTTATAGAACGCTGGCGTTGAAACAAATGATTGGAGATGAAAGAATAATGTATCTAAGTGGTTCATAATCAAATAGAAAATTAAGGCGACTGTACAAAAATGATAAATTCTGGAGATATTTTTTCATGAACAATAAAGTGATAAACAAACGATTGATATATACTTCTAAATATAATATACTTATATTTCATTTCGAAAATACGTATTAACATGTAAAGTATTTTTTTGAGCTAATAGGAAAGCTCACCTGACATAGCTTCAGGGTGTTCGGTTGACGAGACATTACTGGGTAATGGCTGGTCATTTAAAATATGCTTGCAGTTCAGATTTTCTGAAGGATTAGATGGATCAGAACATACTGGACAATCAATACATAAATTATAAGAATTCGTAGAGATGCCTGAATTGTTTGGTTTTCTCTTAGGATCTTCCATGAACTGACCTAGACGATAGTAGATTTGTCTACATACATGAGTTAAATAAAGTTCTCCAATGCTCAAAGCGAATGATAGAGGTTCATAAAGATCAGGGATAGCCGCAAGTGAAGATGATTCACACTTATTAGTTACTGCAGATGAACAATTATCGGAAGAATCGATCTACGATGGATATTAAAAGTATTGGAAAACGTAATTAGTTAGGAAACATTTAATGAAACAAGTTTATCAAAGATAAATTTCACATAATACATTTGTTTGATCATTTATACAGACTAAAATAACGTATAAAAATGTTGAAGTATAGTAAATTGTTTCAAACACTTTCTGACGTACTATGAGTTGTATTGCGATGATTTCATCAGTCAGTCAGTCAGCAACAACGTAGAACTTCGTACGTACGTAGTACGCACATCAGTTCGAGTTGCCATACCAAATTAGCACAGAGATGCAGTTGTCGACTCAAATTCCGTAGCGGTAGATGTAGTGAGAGTGTAAGCTGTAATCGGAAAGATTAGGGTTTGAAGATGCTATTTAAAGAGTATAATCCAGTGAAATAAATTTGGAAAGAGAAAAAAAAGGGACAAGGAGGATTCAGGAGATTAGAATTTGGGAGAACATAAAGAGTGTGTGCACCTGCGCCATTGCAAACCATTTTGAGCCATGTCATTCAGGGTCTCTAACCATCGGTTGCTATCATCTCGCGGTCCCCAACCAGGTAGTCTACACCTGCCAACATGGCTCAGTCCAGTTGTCAGTGACTTCATGGATTTGTGCCATGTTTTGGTATAGCCGCCCCTAGCTTCTTCCAACCTACTGCTATACCATTGAGCGTCGCACGTCGAGGCAGCCGGTGGTTGGGCATAAGCAACACGTGTCCCAGCCCTCTCAACTGATGAAGTTTCACCACTTCATCAATTGATTTGCCATCCTTACCTAGTACCCATTTCCTAACAACTGCGTTGCTTAGTCGATGGTCCCAGGATATACGAGCAATATTTCGAAGACACCTATGATCAAATACTAGTAACCTACGAATATCCTCTACTCTTACCGGCCATGTTTCACTGTCATAAAGTAGGACGGAACGAACTGCTGCACAGTAAACACATCCTTTGGTTGATAGAAGGATATCTCGCCTATGCCATAAATGACGCAAGTTGGCAAAAGCTAATCGAGCCTTCTGTATCCGTGCTGAGATTTCGTCACACACCAGACCACAAGGGCAGATGAGACTTCCAAGATAAGTGAAGCGGTCGACACGCTCAACTACTTCACTCTCTATCATTAGTTCAGGTGCCGATACAACCCAATTCTGAAGCAATATTTTGCATTTCGACGGGGAGAATCGCATCCTGAACATGCCTGCATTGTTGCTTAGAGTAGTCAGAAGACTCTGCATTTTGTCAGCGTCTTCTTCAAATAAAACTATGTCTTCGGCATATTCTAAGTCAACAAGTGAATCTCCCGGTAGAACTTCAACCCCTGAAAATTTAGATGAGGGAAGTGTTATCTCTAAAAGCACGTTTACGATAGAGTCAAACAAGAATGGAGAGAGTGGACAGCCCTGACGAACACCACTTGAGGTAATCAATTCTGATGACAGTTCGCCATAAGCTCTCACTCTACCAGTTGTGTTCGAGTAGAGAGCCTTTACAAGGTTAATGTACTTCTTTGGTACTTCTTTCAGTGACAAACACTGCCATAGAGCCTCACGATCAACAGAGTCGAATGCCGCCCTAAGGTCGAGAAATACTACGATTGTGGGGCGTCTGAATGTGTGCCTATGTTCTAGAACCTGACGTAGTGTGGAAGCGACTTGTTTTTTTTCGAAGGATTTCGGACTACAGTATGAGTATCCAACACTACTAAATTAAAACTATTGTGAAAAAGGCTGACATTTTATAAAGACTAAGTTGACCGGTACAGAACGATCCATTTAAAATCCTAAAACAAACTAAATACCCTATTAAATGGGTATAAGTTAATAAGTAAGTCATATATTTAGGTAAAGGAGAAGAAAGTTTTAAGAGAAGCAAACGTATCCTTCGGAAAGCGCACGGATAACACGATTAAAAAACAACTAATAGACATTTCATGTGTTTTAAAATCAACCGATATTTTTATAGTTTGCAAATAGTTATTAACAGTGATTCCAAATAGAAAACAATTGAAAATCCTAGAGCATTGAACAGTTGTTTTATCCTCATGAGCAATAAACACTCTCTACTTAATTTAGGACTGGACTCAGAATGATCAGATATATCAACGATAATGTTAATATCCAGTAATTGAGCTGGAATTTAATTGCGTGTCTTACAAATTTCACTTCGTTAGCATTACAGGTCCACTAACATCCAATATCATCAGGAACCATCTGCTTTCATTACAAAGTTGTTTGACTCCAGAAGTTCGATTGCCTAATTTTATATCTTTTCATTTATTGGCATCACTTATGTCCCACAGATTTCTCTTTCTAACGATAAGGCCTTTAAAGTGCAGAGCTAACACATTTGAAGCTAGTAGCAAAAAGGCTGTGTATGAAGTGTAATTGTTCCTTAGGCTCTGTGGTTACGCCCTCAAGTCTTCAAGAACCCTCATAACTTCGTTTTCTTTTTACATATCTCAGAAAGTGTCTTTCTATGGTGTGGGCAACCGGAAAGTGAAAATTGCCCAAACACCTATAACAATACACGAGACCTTTCGGAATGACGGAAACTATATATTCAATTCAATTATTTTACACTATATTTAAAGATTTCATTAGATAGTACAGATAATCTGAAACTGTTTTTGATACAGCGAGATTTCTTTGATATGGACACAGTAAAACTACTAAAACCATATATTCCAGATTTTAGATTTTCAGTTCTCAGTAACAAATGCCTTTTCCTAACTCTATTTTCCAGATACATATGTTTTCAAAAATATGTGACTTTGTTTTGATTAGGAAACGGTGTTTGTATTCCTGGTTTGTACAAAAAAACCAGTCACTGTGTTTTTATAAAAAAAGTGTAGTCAACATTTTTGGTTGAACTGGTAAGCGATTAGATTCTAGATTTACAAAGAATGCAAATCTAAAGTCATTTTACCTTTATAACATTAGGCTACACATAATTACCGCGAATGTTTAGTTGGCAATACTCCGCTTTAAAAAAATAGACTGGTTATACAAGCAACTAAAGACTCAGTAAAAGTGAAATTGTACGTTTTACAGCTTCAATTTATGATGCAAAACTTTTTGAAAGAAAAACTAGCCAATCCACTTTTAAGGGACACAAGGTTCTAAACCAATAGAATTTGCATACCTGAATGGCTTTTTCTTCTTCACCAGTCATCAAACTGGTAGAGGCTGAAGTGATTTCAGATTGTTGAGGAGAATTGCTTTCTATATTTGAATTTTCGTCTAATTTTTTCCCACTTGATTTATTGCGATCTTCTAAGTTAAGCTGGTGTATATACTCATAAGTAAGTATAGAAATAAGTAGCATTCTAATAAAAATAGGTCCTGTCAACTGATCAGATGTTTCATCTACACGATCTGGTTTTTCTTTAACTTCGCCCATTTTTAAACACTTGGTATTGGTATGTTCTGAATAAGTAATACTTTCAGACCGTACAGTTAAATGATCAGTAAGTAGTAACGAAGAATGTAGTTCCGCAAGTACATCATGAAAAATATTTTCTGTTGCGGGATCCCTAGACCTTTGGAGGGAAATACAAAGTAAAAATGTTTGACATTATAAAATCTTTCTGAATTGTAATAAGATTTTATGATTTCTAACACAGACAACATAAATAAATCAGCATATGAATAACCCTTTAATTGTGGATGACGAAATGAGCAAGCCCCAAACCCTACAAAAGCGATTATGTGTGGAGCTGTTGTGGTTATGGACTACTAAATGGAAGTGCACTCTGACTGCAATCTGTAGTATTGAAGAATTCGGTTTTGAGTCAAACGTTTAGGAAGTTTCTAGTTATAACAACCTAAAACGTTCGATTAAGATATGTAAGAAGTAATATGGCTCTTAACGCAAGCTAGTGTAGCAGATAATAAAAACAAGGATTCATATCACTCACATGTACTGAAGTTGTTTGGACTAAGACTCATATTTTGAGGAAATATATGGTGTTCATCTGTAAATCGCTTAGAAACCATATCATCTTTACTTCACTCAGTATATCTATACTGCCAAAAGTTTTGATCCATATAAATTTCATCCTTCAAATAATTTACCCTTATAGATAGCATGAAGTCCAACCCTTTACTCGACTACTGAGGAAATAAAAGTCAACTAGTGTCTCGTTCAACGTCTGCACTTTGATGACTGAGTGATGAACACTAGACCTTCGACTACGAAATCCGGAATATTTCCTGCATACCCTACTCAAACGCTTTCTAGACCAAATATTTTTCTGAGCACCATAAATTATCGAAAAGCTAGGTCAGTCTGTAACTCAGATCTATAGCATAGGCGATTGATTAGTATGTGTCAGAATATTTTAACCTTAGGACAGCGATTCAAAAGACGGGGGAATCTGAGTTAAAACATGATTAATTAAAAAGAGTACAGAACAATGTTTTTTTATCTTCATATTTAAACTAAACAATAAAAGAAACTCCAGGGAAATAAGAGAATATTTCGACAAGCCTTACATAAATGTTAAGCTTTCTGACCATCTTTTATTTTCCAGTCCCTATGTCTTTCATATTTTATCAAAATGCTGTATTCCCTCAGCTGAGTCTTTCACTCCCTCTTTTGCCGACATCAGGGTATAGATAAACAGTAACGAATATATGGTAACAAACTACTAATTTTGGTCATATCACCAATGAACAAATTGCAGAAATTGCCGAAATATGACCTAAAAATTAATGCTACGAACTAAATTTTCTTTGTTAGCACATGCAACTTTTATCTCTGATAAAAATACTGTAATTGATAAAGCTGTACATTGCTACGAATAAATTAGTTTTGATTTTTTTTAACAAGTAACTCAGTGACCAGGTAAGGGGTGTGGACTTAACTTCGAGTAACGCATTCTTGTAGACGATAGCGATCTTGCCTGGCTACCCAAAATGAACTATTTGGAATCGGATGCCAATTTGCAGCTTGATAGTGTTTAAACACTGTTGCACCATAGTATCAATAAGTATTTTATGACCTTTTGAAGTAAATTAACTAAAATATATTCTATTCAAATAACAAAATCTATGAATACTCAATGGAAAATGACCCATACTCTACAGGTTTCAGGAACTGCTGAATTAGGTAGATGAATTTCATGATAGTCTTCCGGAAATCTTTTGGTCTAAAAAGCAACAAAAAAGTTGATTGTAAGAATGATCATTAAAAAATTATATGTTTAGTATAAGTAAACTTTTAAGACGACTGAGTGATATAATTTCTTAAATCTCAAGTTTATGACGCGAAGATAAGGACTACCGCAACATAGTATGAGGATGAAAGATCCATGCTCTTTATCTCCAAAATCTGAAAATTTACTTTAGGATTATTTTCGGATATTCAGTGCAAGGCCACAGTAAGGAATTTGAATGTGACTAATTTACATTAGATACTGCATCCGCCTTGAAAGGTTAGTGATTTCAAAACAAATAGTGAGACTTTTTATGACACTTTTAAGCTTAAAAAACCTTCAATATAAATGGGACATTAGGGAATCTAAAACAATAAGCCAATCTCTACTTGGTGAATAGTTAAAGATGGGTGAAAAAAATAACAGGATTTGATAATGATTTTTTAAGAAGCATCTTTATTGTGTCAGCATTTCCAGGTAATAAATGTTTAGGTTATAGGTGGTGGTGTTTAGATAAACTAGCCCAACCGTTGCACAAGTTTACGAATCGGGTTTTGTGAAAGATGTTATGTGCACCGCAGTAGGCATGGTCTGGGGTTTGTAGGAATGATGAATTTGTTTAGTGAAATTTATTCCGCTTAAACACACTACGCAATGCGAATTACGATAACTCGAACAAATATATGGTTCAGGTGTTTATAATGGTCATTTATTCTTTCTAGTTTTTACTGACAGTTACCATGAAACACCTAACAAATATAAATGACTAAGTACAAATAATACGCTCACCTGAAATAAGAGGCATATCGGATGCGTGAACTTTTAGACGGCTTTTCGCGAATAATTGTACCATAACGAAGCTCATTTTTAGCCAATACAGTGATTAGATTTCCTTTAGCACCCTCAAAAGGCGAACGGGATGTTAAGCAACGTAAATAATGGAAAACGGCATTTAGGCCGTAGCAACGTCCAACATCTAAAATGCCCAATTGATTGTGAGGCAGTCCTGGTGAAAAAAAGAGGATATTTGGAGACATGGATGAAACAGCTTAGAGAAAAGCATAAGTCAATGGCCACATAGATATAGTGTGAATAACACTTCACAACACACATCAAAATCACTGATACCAATAAGTTGCCTCTATTTATTGGTAATATATCAATAGAAATATCTACATTTTTCACGAGCTAACTTTCGCTTGGCCCCAATCATTTAAACAGACGGTAAACATCACAAGTACATACGTTGATTAAATCTAATAGTGAGGGAAATTCAAAACACCTGATGTGATTAACGTTTTACCTAAAATAACCATATCTAGTAGTGCATTTCGAATATTATCTGCTGAAAAAGGCTCAAAACTCCACATACTATAACCTGATAATAGCGCGACAGAATGGGGTCAGATGATCAAAACTATTGTTTCGTTTCAAAATAGTAAACACTAATTATGAGGATATCAAAATGTCTTTACATTCTATCACCTAACGTTTTCTGACTTACATGTTTCACTGTATGACCAAATACAACAGTTGCTTTATGAAACATGTCATACACGTATTAGCACATGTTTCGCTCAGTGTATGAACCTTTTATGGTTACTAGATTACTTTTAGTTCACATTAGTTCTGTAAACATATTTAAGCTTAAAAATTAACATACTTGTTGTTATGGCAGGTTTTATGAACAAGTTTTGAAACTTAAGGTGAACTAGATCCCAACCGATATATGTGACCATATGAAAACTGACCACGAGACCAAATTATGGACGCAAGCCCCAGTAAACTTATATTAGAATACAATACACTGACTCGATGTACTGGTTGCCTATTCAATAGAATGAAACGCTTATAAATAAAATGCGAACAAGTAAAAAAGATTGGTTGTTATAAACGACTGGACAGTGAAAATTTTTTAAACTAAAAAACTCTTCAGTGTGTCAGTCAGTCAGTAACAACGTAGAACTTCGCACGTACGTCTTCAGGGAATTAAGACAACTATTAAACTTAATTCTTAACCGTCATATTACGTGTTTTATTGCAGAGTAGAAGTTCAGTGCTCTAAAACTGACATAGCTTCGCCCAGAAAGTCGCATTAATCCAACTGGGGAAAGATATCTACATGAACACTATATATACGACGGGTAACAATTGAAGTCTATTGAGTCATACTTGCCGAAACAGAACGAGAAACTTAGTAATAAGACTATCTGTCAGACAAAAGCATTTGGCAAAAACAAACCCCAAAGCAAAAAGTATGAACGGGAACACCACTAAATCTTGTTTCTGATATATATTATGTATTAATAGATATGGTACTTACCCATAAGAGGAT